AAAAAAAAAATACCTCTCCAGGTAACCTGTAACATGCTTAAGGCATTGTCTATGCTCAGGGATAAGTCAGCCTGATGTGTATACTTGTGGTAGTGTCTAGAAGCCTCTGCCAGGTCGCTCATGTGTTAGACACTGTGCAAACAAAGAGCTTACAATCTGGGTAGCTGCATCACTGCTGAGCCCCGAGGGCAAACCTGGAAAAGGATAGGGCACTGGATGTGGAATCAGGGGACTTGAGTTCCGTTCCCAGCTCTGCAACCCTGAACAAATCACTTCATCTTCAAGCTGGGGTCAGCCCCAATGGGTGCCACCCCCCAAAGCCTTTCTGTGGCCTTTGAGACTCTCTGCAGCTATGCTGGTGGCTGAGTTGGGGATATTCCAAAGTGTAGACAAGACTTTAATTCCCTTTGGATTGGCTAGGGTCCTGCAGGTTAACTGAACCACTGACCTTCTGAGGGTTGCTTCCCGTTCCTTGCATTATTTTTCTATTGAAATGTCCTGAGCTGGCCAATAGTAATCTAGGCAGTCAGCATTCCAGCAGTTTCCAATTTGCTTGCTTTCCTATCAGCTGCCTTACATCTGCGATGAGATGATTAGGCATAGTGCACTCATCATGCCATCTCATGTCACGTCACGTTATATCTTCCCTATGCCGTTTTTAAACGGGCTTGACGTATGACATGAAATCAGCATGCAATTGTTCAGCGCGGGCTCGCCTGCTATCAATTTGGAGTGTGTATAGAATTGGATGGTGTTCACGATGGACTGCTGCTTGTTCCACCCCATCGTGTCCTGTTATATAATGGGAATGTGTAGCAGATGGAAAGATGTAAGCAGGAACACATGGCACAGGATGGGGTTATCTGAGGGTATCCCCGCATGGCTTCGGTGGGTTGGCTCTCAGCTTTGTGTTGTACAAGAGGCACGTGGGATTGCTATCTAACCTCACTCCTTAAGGTATGGCATGCTTTCTACATCTGATTTATAAAACAATACTTTGTCTTCTCTGGCAGCTTCCATCTGAGGATCGCAAGGGGATTTTGGCAAACATTTCCCACCGTTGCAAACACTGCTGTAAACTCTACCAGTGGCAAGACTAAGGTTCAGATTCTCAAAGGTATTTAGCTGACAGGTAGGGTGGATCTGCACTAGTGGGTGCATTACAAACACTAAGGCTTTGTCTACACGGAGAAGTTAATTGTGATTAAAGCAGGGTGTGAATTTAAAGCGCAGTAGCTATTCCTGACTAACTTCTGGTGTGGACACTAATTCTGGAATAAGAACATGCGCACAGAGAGTTAATCAGGAATAGCTCCTGTCTAGACAAGCCCTAAATTAAGGCTCACAAAAAGCCTTGTGAGGGATGTAAGTATTATCCCTATTTTACAGATGGGGAAACTGAGAGGGATACAAGGTCAAATAATTTGCCCAATATCAGAGCTGGGAATAGAACCTACATCTGACTCTTTGGCCTGTGCTTTCATTGCTAGGCTATATACTTCATTTCCATGAGCATGATTCAAAATCCACTGAAGTTGCTAATGGAAAGAATGCCATTGATTACGAAGTGGATTAGATCAGGCTTTACTAAGAGCATTGCCATGCTCCAATAAAATGTACATTTTTAGAACATGTGTTAACTGGTGGATGTGAACCCAACATCTTAGATTCCAACTTGCCCTGTCTACACTAGGGTTTTAGAATGCACTAAACATTTTAGCTAATGTGTTTTTAAAAAGATACCTTTTATCCTAGTCTAGGCCAGCCCTGCCTCCAGGCAACTTGTGTTTCGAAAAGGATCTGGACCCATGGCCTAATTTCCAAATGAACATTCCCACAGTGTCGACAGTCCCCAAAAGTCAACAGGAGGGTCCCTAAATGGTGTTACTGTGTTGCCACAGCAGGGGATTAGAAATCTGAATTGCAGCATAGCCAGTGTCCTCAGAGGGCTGGTCTATATGCAATTTTTAGTACTAGTTTCGCTGTAGTGATGTGAAACCAGTATAGTATCAATTTAAGTATACTAAAGATATATAGAGGTAGACAGGCACCTTTATAAAACTGCATCCACACTAAAAGCTGTATCAGTTTTAAATAAATAGTTAAATTGATACAAAAACTGTGTCTAGACCGGGCCTAAGGATCCTGGGTGCGAGCCACTAACATTTCATTGCTGGGAGGTAGCTTTTCTACCCTTCTCTGAAAAATTAAAATGCTTCTTGAGGTTAGTATTTACAGTATTGCCTACAGGGACCTCTTGTGCCAGGCACTGTACATACACACACTGAGGGCTTGTCTAAATGTAAAAAGTTTACTGCTTTAACTGTAGCTACACTCCCCTGGTGTAGACCCAGTTGGATTAGTATAAAGATTTGTTTTTTCCCCTTAGAGTTATTACCATATGGAAAGGGAATAAGCTATGCCAGTTTAAAGGTGCCTTTTATTGATATAACTGCATCCACACTGGGACCTATACAAAAAGCACATGGAAACCACCCATGACAGAGAGTGAGTTCCACCTCAAAGAGCTGCTGGTCACAGGTTCCACTGATGAAGGGCTAATAGATGGATTAGACACTGAGCAACATGAGTTATGGACGGATATAAGCAACCTGCTGACTCAACAATTGATTTAACTATTTATCAACCCTTTGTAAACTATTTAAAAATGGAACCTTGATCTAAAGTGTAGCCGAGCGTCCAATCTAAATAGACAAGACAAACCGGGTATGTTTAGACTAGGAAAAAAATGTGTTGTAAAAATTGAGTTAGCTACTTTGAGGCAGCCTGGGGTGGACCCCTACTAGCGTAACACAGCTGTAAGAAGTCAGAACCTAGTGTAGATGCAGAGTGGCGTTGCCAAGTGAGGTTGGCTATCTTGAGGTGGTTGATTTGTTTTATATACTTCTTTCCTTTGGCTAGCGTAGCAGGGACAATCACTGTTTTGAGTACCTTACAACATGCTAGGGGACTTCCTAAAATGAGGCCTTGTCTCAACACAAGTTGGAGCTGTTTACCAAAGGGCTTGTGTAGTTCCCTTTCAAACAGGACTACGTCAACGTGAACCAGGTTCCTTTTAATTCTACATAGAGCTGCTTGGGTGCAACACGCTAGCACGAACTATAATTCACGCCCCTGTAGTGTGCACTGCCCTATGGTGCAGACAAGTCCTAAGGCTTTTTAAAAACAGATTTTGCTAAAACTGGTGCAAACGTGTGTTGTTTCAGTTAAGCTCTAGTCTATGGGGAACAGGTTCAAAGTAAACTAAAATAAAAATGTCTACATAAGGGTTTGCACCAATTTAACTAGATCAATTTAAATTCACATCCTAAGTTAAGCAGCTTAGGGCTTCTCTAGTGGTTTATGTAGATATTGCTAAATCAATTTAAGAGTGACTTAAATTGATACGAGGCACTCAAACTGGTTTAAGAGCGCCCACACACTGATTTTAAATGGGTACAACTTCTATGTAGACAAAGCCTTATTTACCTACAGTTCAAGTATTTTCTTCAAATCCTTTCACCCCCTTTTAAACAGATTGGGAGAGAAGTAACTTCTTTGTATTCTTTTCTCCCTCTTCATGAAATGTACTGGTCTCTTTCTGTTTATCTGAAGACACAGACAACATTCAGGAAATCTCACTGAAACTAACTCACTTCATATGGACCTGTATTAAAGGCATGAAGTCTCTCAGGTAAGTGGCAATTTTTTTTTTTTTTGGAACAGCTACAGCACACTTTTATAAGTTAGCTTTTAAAAATATAATTATTTTCGTCCGACGCACATATGGGGTGTGATTCTTTTATAAAATAAGGAAATTTATGTGCACTCCCTGTGGCCTAGGTAGGGATTAATAATGCACCCAAACAGGTGCGTTTTGTAGGACTCATTTTGGAATTACCACTGACTCTTGGCATGGCTGAAGTCCCAGAGCTGTGTTTTCTAGGGTATCTCTAATGAACCCTGAAGGAGCCAGATTACTTCACAGGACCTATAATTTTTTTTTTTTTAATGACAAGTTGGAGTGTGTGTGTGCCTCATGCCTCCCCCACCGCCTGTTTAGAAAGGAATGGAGGACAGCCCTCCATTCTTATCTCAATGTTCACATTTGTTTTGCAGATCACCTTTAAAAAGGTTGTAAATGCTCAACTGTAGGACTCAATTCCCTCTAGGAGCCTAACTCCTGCAGCAAGTTTTAAGAAACTGGCTGCTTCCTAGAGGGCTGTGGATTAGCACTGTGGGCAGAAGCCCTCGTTTTCAAAAGAGCCGGTATTTAAATACAATTAGGGCATGTGGTGAAGACGTTCTATGCTGATGGGAGACCCTCTCCTGTCGCCATAGCTCTGTGCACACGAGCACGTATGCCGGCCTAATTTATGCCGCTCAAGGGGGTGGAATATTCCACCCTTGAGTGACGCACGTTTTGCCGACATAGGCGATGTCTAAGCTCCTGCTTAGGTGAGCCAGATCCTCACCTCGTGTGAGTCAAGCATAGCTCCATTGAAATCAAGGTCACTTTCTTGAATTCTCCAGGACTATGCTGATTTATAGCATTTGGCCCAATATTTGGATCTATCTCCACATTCTATTTAGATTGAGAAAAACTGGTAAAAGGGTGGGGAGAGAAGAGAAATCCCCTCCATAAGCTCTAGGTGCCCTTCGCCTAGTTTAAAAATACATTAAAAATGCAGCAATTCAAGATACCTCCTTACACATCCCCCTTCCACTCCCATGGGGGGGGGGGAGGAGAAAGGTTAGTGAATCTCTCACAACACAGAAGGCCCTGGGTGCCACATGGTGAGTTTATCTGTAGCACTTTCATTTTGAGATGTTTAGAATCTTTTTTGTACATAAACACAAGTCAGACCCTGAGCTGCTGTAGATCTGCATAGCTCCCTCGAACTCACTGCTCACAAGATCATTCCAGCCCTATATGTTATTGCTACAGTACAGGGGCTGCTACATATGTGCAGGCTGAAAATCAATTGTAAATCTCTTACCTCTAAACCCATTTCCATTGCCACTAGAGCAGGCAGGGGAGGGAGACCCTTGGGGTCTGATGACAGGGGCAAAGGCACTCTTCTGTTTGACAGCAGGAAAGACGGAGGAGGAGAATGGAAGGATGGAAGAAGCGCTGGAAGAGCCAACTGTTGGACTTGAAGACATTACTGCAAAATGAAAAAAAGAGGTGATCATCTTCAGCAATGGAATTGATAAGAGGCGAGGTAAAATTGCCTGAAATATTGTTTTCCCACCTTGATTCAGTTATGTGTGTATAAAAATACTATTAATAATAAGCTGTTCCTATCACAGAATAGCTAAACATGCTCAGATGATAGGTATGTCTCAAGTGGATGCAGTTTTATTTAATAATACTTCTTTCATACAAATCATATCACAAAATGCTTTAAACACAGTTTTTCTAAGGTAAAATTAAATATAAGCTTGGGGAATAATATTTTCAGGTTGAGAGTTGAAAAATGGCAGAGTGATAGCCCAGAACTGTTAATATGAAGGAGCTACAGAGGATCATGCTTTTTTACTCATGGGTTGTATGAAACAAAAGAGGATCTGCTCCTAGATAAGTTGATGGGAATGGTGGGAGGGCTGGTTAAATAATGGTAACAATATCCCCTCCCCAAAATGCAAAGTTTTAAATCTAAATGCAATTTTTAGCAACCAAAATTAAATGAAACATATTTAGGTTTTTAGTTTTCCCCCAATGGAAGAGGAGGGCAAAAATACATGCATCTGAAAAATGTTCATTTAAAGAAATATCTGATATGTCTAGAAACCCTGCTCCCCCTGCAACATTATGTTAACCTTGGAAGTGTGAAACAGCTGTATGTTTGCCATTAAGAAATAAGCAATATGCACAATAAAGCAACCTGTTAATCCGAACTGCATCTCAAAGTGGGAGGCCAGGGATAAACTCAGTCTGCGTGGACTGAGGTTTGTATGAACTCAAAGAACTTAGACTTGAACAGAGTGCTAGTCTAAAGTAATTGCAGCGAAACGGTGTGGGGCCCAGTCCTGTTCCCACTGAAGTCACTGGCAAAACTTCCTCTTAACTAAAGAGGGAGCAGGCCCTGTATCCACCTGAACGTTGTGCATATTACTTTTAAATTAAATCACTGCTCTCACAGCAATGACATTATTTTCAAGTGCCCAAAAACTGTGATGGATTCAAAGATTTCAGGGCCTGAATGGATCATCTAGTCTGACCTGCATGACACAGGCCATAGAATTTCACCCATTGTGCTATATTTTAACAAAAGAAAAAATAATTTGCACTTGGAGAGCTACTTTCAGCCAGGATGCTCAAAGCACTTTACAGGATCCTGTTGAGCCTCAGTCCATCAGTGTGGGGTAGTAAAACATTGTCTTCGTTTTTACAGATGGGGAAATTGAAGTACAGAGAAAGTCAGTAGCAGAGCCAGAAGTGGGGTCTAACTCCCAGACCTCTCCTCTAACCCTTTGTCACTCACTCATAGCTCAAGATTAAAGTGGAACTCCGCAGGAACACTGTCTCAATTTAGGCCTCAGTTACTGCTAATTCTATTCATGGGGATTAAGTGACTTTAAATGTATCTTTTACAAGTAATTCAGCATAGATTATGTGATGATATCAGTGGAGCTGCAGCTTGGCAGAGACCAAAATGAAGCAAACACCCTCTTCCCTTCACACAAGGCCCTGCTCACAAATTCACAGCTGGAATTTACTCTGCATTTATTCTTCTTAGAGAAGAGAACATTTGCTTTAGTTAAGGGGTCTGTCAGCATTTCATTATAAACGCCTATTGTCAGGGGTTTATAATACAGCCGTAAAATTCTCTCCCTGAGCTGAAACTTGGCACGGAGCGTGCAGCCAGGAAGTGAAGGCTGTATGTAAAAATTTGAAAAACATCTGTTTGGCCATTTTGAAACTCTACCAGCACAAAAACAATAGACGAGGCAAGTTTCAGATTTATTTATTTTTGCGTGTGCATGGAGGAGAGGTTCACTGGTGTAATTCAAAAGTAGTTTTAATTAAACCAAGAACCCTTCTATCTAAAACACAGCCGAATTCCATTTGATATTGCAAACCATTAGCGAGTGCAGACTCGTGCTATTTTTTTATACTGGGTCATACTGTGTATATGAAGTATGTTAACCCTAATTTCATTGCATTCGTGTATTAGCACATGCAATTATTAGTTCCCAGTAGTGCAGCCCCTTACACATAGGAACTCATAGATAGGCAATAAAGCCTTAGCTGACTGTCTGGAATAATCTCAAATTGAGGCCATCGTGTGCAATAGATTCTTCCCCTCCCCTCCCCCCCCCCCCCCAAACTCAAATGTAGCACTGGCTTGACAGACCTGGAGCCTGAAGTCCTCCTTTTATAGAGGGATGTTTATTACAGAGAATATGGCAATGGTAGTATAAGCTCCACCTGCCACTCTGTCCCAATCCTGTTTGGAGGAAACCTCTAGGGGCAGGAGGGGTAGTTTAGCTTTCACAGCCCATTCAATTCTAACAGGGAGGGAGGCTTGGATTGTCAAAGCTCCCCAAGGGAGTTAGGTGCTTAGCTCCAATCTATGTCTACACTGCAATCACAGAGTGTGAGTGCAACTTAAGGAAACATATCCAAGCTCACTTGGGTATTGGAGTAGTGAAGCTGCAGAACTGTGCACTTCAGGACTATACAAGTCCATCTGGAATGCTGGATATTTACTCACATGGCTGAAGTGCTCAGTGCCTCAACTTCACTGCTCAGGGCTTGTGCTAGGGGCTGTCGCCCTGGACACCAACTTCCAGGGGGCACCATACTGCTGTGGCATTTGCCTTTCGTTTTTTTTTTAATCCTGCTGATTGGCCGGGGTTGGGGGACACCAAAAATGTTTTCTGCCCTGAAGGGTAAAAAGGCTAGGGACATTCCTGTTACAGCTAGCTTAGATATGTCTACATGAACTGCAATCACACCCCGCAGTGAAGACATACCCTTAGTGTGATTTGGGTGAATAACTCCCTATAGGTTCCTTTCAGAGTCCCAGGTGAAACACCTAGAGGGTCTAGAAATGACTCCAAAAACCTAACCCATCTAATAAAAATTATAACCGGTGTTTTACAACCATCTTGTTATGGAGCAGGGATAAAACCATTGACATGGGATCCCTTTCTATTATGATATATAAGACGTATTTATAAGCAAGCATTTGGCCTCTGCTGAGACCACCAGCAAGGGGGACAGTTCTGATGGGAAGGATATAACAAATTGTGAAGGCTTGTAAAAGGCTTTGAGATCCTCAGTTGAAAGACACCCTAAATGCAAAGTTTGATCCACGTATGGCTTAAGCAAAAAAAAAAAAAAGAAGGAAGAGGATGCTACTAAAGAGGTGGGCACTTTCT